AGCGAGAAGCTTCCTCTTCTCCTCCTATGTCTGTCACGCCTGTGATCAGAGACATGCGGTCAGTCCCCGCAGTAATGTAAAACTACGGTGAGAACTTCCCGTTTTGGAATAGTTGGCATTCCGATGTCAGCAGTGCTCATTTCATACGTTGAGCTTGAACAGGGAAGGTTCTGTAGGTCACTAGGATTTGGTACCTTGGAGCAAGGACATGCCTGTCAGTGAGAAACATGTGCTGAGCGCCGTCCGTCCTGTTGGAGGGTATTAGAAGCGTGATGTGTGTGAACCGCAGGTCATGTAGAGATAAGAGAGGTCAGATGGTTCATCACATTTGCACGTTACTCAAATAAATCGTGACTTTAAACAAGCTCGACATTCAGACGTACCTCGAGACATGGTCTCACCCCAGCCATTGCAGAATTATTTCCATGAATCTGAAAATAACCTCTCATCATTAGTCTTAATCATCTCATATTATACTGAGTGTGCAGATAAAAAAGTGTTTCTTTTCTTCTTCTTTTGGAATAATTGGATGATACAGTTCATCTTTTATTTTAGGTCACCATTTTCTATCCCACACTATAGTGCTACTAAACTTATAATGGTTAATCTATTAAACATGTACAGTATCATTAATTCAATCAATGTTGGTACTTTCACTCTCTTTAATTAGAAAGACCATTTTATTTCTCATACAAAACTGCTATATTTTCATTATTAGTGATTATTTAGATTATTTGATTATTATATGAAAAAACGTTTTAGTTATTATGCAACGCTTTTGTGCCCCCATATAAGTCCACACTCATGAATGTCTTTGCATACAGTTGTGCTCAAAACAAGTTTACATACAGTATCTTACAAAATCTGCTAAATGTAAATTAATCTGACAAAACAAGATGGATCATACAAAACACATTATTATTTTTTTATTTAGTACTGTCCTGAATAAGATATTTTACATATAAGATGTTTACACACAGTCCACAAGACATAAAAAATGCTGAATTTATGAAAATGACCCTGTTCAAAATTGTGTCGTTACCTGATTCTGGTGAAAACGTTTGAACATTTGTTTAAACTTTTTTTTTTCACTTATACTTTCCTTCAGAAGCAACAGTAGACATAGCAGACCCGTTCATAATGCATCGTGCTTCCGTTTGGAGCATCAGTAATTTACAATAGTTGTGTTAGATAGAGTGCCTCAATTGTCCTCAGTGTGAAAAGACGCATCTCAAAATAATACAGTCTCTGCTGGAAAGAGTTCAAATATGCAAAAGATGCTGGAAACTGAAGAATTTGTAGGATCTGAAGGATTTTCTGAAGTACAGGCAGTTTAACTGCTTATAGGACAAACAAGGGAGGGACTCAAGATAAACATCCCAAAACAATACAACAGTCATGCATAATCCAGGTACGACACGGTATTAAGATTCAAGGGTATGTAAACATTTGAAGGGGGTCATTTCAGCTTTTTTCCCCCTTGTGGCCTATATGTAAACATCTTTTATGTAAATAATCTTATTCAGGACATAATAAATAACATGAATTTTGTGTGATCCCTCTTATTTCAGCCCATTCTCACTCCCAAGGCGTCACCTAACTGACGCCTTGGGAAGCATTTGGACATGCTTCAATATCTGACGCTTTAGGCGCTCTTTAGCGTCAGTCAGATGACGCCCTAGGATCGCGTGTACCCTACCCCCACCCCACACCTAAACCTAACCGCGTCCTCTAACAGACGCTTTCCTTTAGCGTCAGTTAGATGACGCCGTAGGATCGCGTCATGTAAGTGACGCTAAAGGGCGCCTAAAACGTCAAATATTGAAGCATGGTCAAAGGTGACGCCTTGGGGTGAGAATGCGTTGCTTATTTTGTTAAAATAGTTAAACATTTTGCAAGGTGTATGAACATTTTTGAGAACGAATCTATAATACATCTATAATTTCAAATATCAAAAAGTCATTTATTTTAATTATAGCATAAGCATCCTTTAAGCACATTTTACAAAAAAAGTTTGTTAGGTTTCACGTTTATAAAACATTAAGTCTATCTAATGATAAAACAATAGATATATTTCTCAAAAATAATCAAAAAAGTACTCTATTTTCACTGTAAAAAAAGTTGAGAAAACTTAAAAGTTTTAGGCAACCAGCTGCAGGACATTTTTTTGTTTTATTAACTTAAGGTCATTAATTGTACAAACCTTTTCATGTTAAATAACTGAATAAACTTTAAAAACAGAATTTGTCAAACAAAATGTAAGTTGGATTTTTTTTTACAGTGTGTGACTTTCCGGTTAAGTTTCTTAGGAGAATGTCTACAGTACATACACTTTGGGATCAGCTGGTTAAAAGTCATTTTTAAAATAACATTTACAGACTAAGTTAGTAGTAGTTGGTTCATTTGTTTGCTTTACTGTTAAAAAATATTTTCATGATTTGTTATCACAACATTTTTTCTTTTGTCAAATCAACTTCATCATTTCATTTATGTCAACTTCATCAGATCATTTATGTAGTTCAGATAACAAGATATTTTGAGTTTCTGGTGATTAAATTAATCTCCTTCATTGTATTAACTCAATTTTTCCATTTCAATGAACTTAAAATTTTACGGCAACCAGTTTACTTATTTTTTAAGTTAAACCAACAATATGCTAACTGGATATCATTTTTTTTATTTTTTTTTTATTATTTAATGCAATGAAATTGATAAGGTTTTAATTTTGACTTAAGTGCTCAGAAACTTTTTGGGCCTGCTGTATAGGCTATATGTTACTGTGTTTGAAAGACTATTGATCAGCTGGAGTCAGTTACAGTTTCAACTGCTCAAGACAGGCTCTTAAACATAGAAAAATAAACAGCATGACTGTAGAAGATATAAACATTTATTCTTCCTGGATTTTGTTAAGCAGATTGTAAGATGAGGAGAGAGACATTGATATGATTGAAATATGGGAAGGGTGAGAAGAGGAAAGGGTTATTTTAACAAAGAAAAAACTGCACTAAAAAATGAAGGGGAAAATATAGTTTCAACCCATGTTTTGGGTCAAATACGGACTAACCCAAACGTTGACTTTAATTATTATTATTTAATTTAAACATGTAAACCAACATTTAGTCTGTTTTTCTATATTTGGCCCAATCATGGGTTGAAACATCCCAGCAATTTTTATAAGGAAATTGTCAGATTTCATCGCTTTGTCAGAGTTTTACACACACTCCATTAAAGAAACGTAATGTTATTGTGCTCATTCATCATGTTGTAAAGATCAAATTGATAAAAGAAATTTGCTTTAAGGATCATAAATCACCTCAAATAAGATGAAATCTTGTAAGGGACTTTGGACTTAACAATAGCCTATTATATAGGCTAATGTAGTTTTGGTTTATTCCACACTATTGGAATGAGGCTTTGGGGAAGAGAGTAAACATTTTCAGCTTGATGAAAACATATTTTATTGCACAAAGAATGAAACCAAACAACCATGTATGTAGAAACAGGAGAATGAGCAGAACAATGCATTGATGTGATAAGCTGGATGTTGATGCTCTATTTTAATAGACCTACATAAAGCCTAAAGTCGGTGAAGTCAAAAACACTGAGAGATCACACATGAGAAATGGCCTAAATAAAACATTTTAATTGATAATGCGGTGGTATTCTTTGCACTACTGCAGTTTATTCTAGGTATCTGCAGACATGAAATGGAGAAAGAGAGCTGGGTGCTGTTGTGAAGTAACACAATAGACCATCCTGCAGCCTTGACACGCTGAACGCATGCCCACGTGTTCTCTTGGGCGGTTTTCAGTCGCTCCACTATGGGGCGTATTAGGGCTTTAAGGTCTACTGAGGGAGCGGGCAATGTCAACTGAACCATGCATTTACTTGAGATGAGAGCGAGTGGGAACTGTTGTGGTTTTGAGAAAATGTGCCTGAATATATCAAAAAGCAAAACACACAAACCACCCACATAAATAAAAACACTTTTTGAACATTAGGTCTAGCCTTCATAACATTTCGTCGTATTTATGATCAGATGCGTGCGTTATTGAACGTTGGTGAAATGTAGGCTATATTTATTTCTAAATTAGCCTATAGCCCACATTTCACTTTATTTTGATAAATTTGCCTACATATGAAACCACAAATAACAAACAAAAACAAACATGTTTAAAAGTTTGATGAGGCCTAGCTACATTTATAGGCTACACGAGATACATTTATTTACTCACAAGTATTTAGCGGCAACATTTCCTGCAAAGATTATCCTATAGGCCTGTAGCAGTCCCACGACAAAAGAAAATGTAGAGAAAAAGATTTAGCCTACCCGAGCATGCTGTCTTCATTTAACAGGATGAAGTTAAAAATTAACGTGTAGCCTAAGTAGCTAATAGTAGCCTATGGTCTTTGTGCTGAGTCAATTATATATAGGCTAAAAAGCAGGTTTATAGAGCAGGTTATTCTAATGAATCGCTCATATCCTACAAGGAATTATCGAAATTACTTAAGTGAATCTGTCAAAATAGGAATATGATCAGCACAGTAAGACAATATTTTCAATCAGTTTCATGAGTTGGGACTGCATCTCTTCGCATGACGGCTGGCCTATGAAGTAGCCTAGCCTAAGTGAGACTAAGCCAGGTTGAAATGTTTTTTTATTTATTTACTTATTTTATTTTTTATTTTTATTTTTAATTAGTTGGCTTTGGAAGTCACTTGAAACCATGAACTGGTTGGCCTAACAACGTCTAGTAATTTATTATTATTTTTTTTTTTGGAAAACATTTTTTTTTAAATATTATTGTCAGAGGAGGCTATCTGCCAAAAAAGAGGGGAAATAAAAAAGGTAAACTCTTTAAGTGATACACCGCCGCAAAAAAAAAAAAAAACAGCATTCCACCTTTGGGGGCGGGATGTCGTTTTTGTAACCGTGACGCCCATCATTCAAAATGCAAACCAATGAGAAAGAGGGAGAGAGCGCTGCAACTGTACCGTCGCTCTCTCTCTCTCTCTTTATGTGACAGCATGGCTCATGCACCCTGACCAACTCAGCTGCCTGGAAGATCCCTGTTGTGGACTATATCCTACCACTGAATCTTGAATGCGCTAAAAACCTTTGTGAATTACGTCTAGGAAGTAGCCTAGTTTGGTTTCCCAATCTGAAGACAGCGCGTCAGGGCACCATCTATACAATTTCACTTGGTAAACGTCAAGGTTTGACTATACAAACAGAGCTTTGGTCTTCATTCACTTGTTGGAAGATGAGGTGCCAGTGGACATACGCTGTTGTTTTCATTCACTCCAACTAACTACAGTGACAACCCGCACTCTGGGATGGGAAGTGAACACTCAATGGACTTGAAATTTGTCTAATTACTTTCTATCCTCGTGGAAAACTTACTCGATAAATCGCAAGAAAGGATGTGCTTGAGATGAACACATTATCAGACTGGACTAGACAGCGACCGAATTAACCGGCTTCTTAGTGTTTCGTCTAAAAATGTACATATAACTGTGACTCTTTGAAGGCTCCAACATTCCTTGCACTGCGGTCGTATAAACCTGTCATTGCAATTAAAGAAACATAATTTAAAAAGAACACATTCCGCGCGTGGGATATTGAAGGAAAACTGACTGGTCGCGCAGTTCGTCACCACCGGAACGCTGTATCGAAGGAGGCTGCGATTGAAACTTTCAGAAATGCCGCAGGTGGAGATGTTTTATTTTGTGTTTATCAGCTTGTTTATGTCTGTGTCGGGCCTGGATCCGGCGTCTAAGATTGTGGCGGATCGCTTCGCAGTCTACTGGAACCGAACAAACCCAAGGTGAGTTAGTTATTGTACAGTAAATATAATAAAACGCAGTTTCACCTGTCATTAGAAACGCCATAGTGCGCAATACCGAACGAAGTAGGCTATAGCCGAACAGGCTCGTCGACCCACCAGGAACGCTTGAATAAGTTTCATGAATGATACAGCAGTCACAACAAACACATATTGTAAGCGCAAAACTTCGTTAAAAATACACGCGTGCACATCTCGCGCACGACATGGCACTGACAGCGTTATTTTACAGTAATTTGGCAAAATTCTATAAAGTTATAGGCTAAGCGCGACAAAAAAAGGAATTGCCAAAATAAACAAGCCGCGAATAGTTTTAAAATGTCCCATTTAAGTGATTTTTTAGATTTTTCTAGTTATCAAAAGTGTTCTCTTGTAGCCTATAGCCTACTAACTAGTGAAAATGGTGTGTGTAGCTTTATATATACTGCAGGATATATATGTGTGTGTGTGTGTAATTAGTGTGTATATATATATATATATATATAGGCTATATATATATATATATATATACTGTGATAACTTTGGACAGGATTTATATGAGAGGTTATTCTTTCTGCTTTTGGGAGATTGACAGGCAAGCTCTTTCAAAGGAAAAAGTTATTATGCCATACCACTAGCTTGTCCTAGACATTGCCCTCTAGAAACATCATTAGAAATAAATATCGCCTCATTGGTCAGTTGTTCAATTTACCTCTTTTAAATGTGATTTTGCTTGTTATCTTAATTCTAAAAGGGCACAATTCTATCAATTCATATTTCTTTTGAGGCATTTTACAAAATGTGTGGCTGAAAATTAGCTAGTAATGGTTTTCAGCAAAGGTAATATAACCTTGATGTGCAATGAAGGGTGTTAATGAAAAATAGCACCAGGAGTACTATTCTGACTGAATGTAAGATTGAATAAGTTGGTTTGATGACTGTTAATAGTTTGGCTAGTTTAATTTGAATAATTCATCTCTTAATATATTATTATTCATGTGAGGCATAATTTGCTTAACAGATTAACATATAATAAATATATTTATATTGAAAATTACATTAGGCTTGCTGTGCCCTTCTCATTGCCGCAAGTCTTGAGTTGCCTGAAAGTGCTGTGATTCCAGCTCATCCCCATTCTCGGTTGTCTCTCTTCAGTTGCCATGGGGCTTTCTCTCTGCCCTGCACCCCAGCCCCATGCTGGCTTTACACAATGGGTCAAACCCTGAGAGACATTTCAGGAGTGGCTGATGCCCAGTTGGGTGCATGCTCATGAGAGAGAAGCGCATGCAGGGGTCACACGTTCAGTGATAACTGCACAAGGCTGCGGTTAACCATCATCGGACAGTATTGAGCTCTGGTCAGGGTGAATTTGAGGGCGAGCCCTATTTCTATAGCCTGGCAGCAGTGTGTGTTTGTGTGATAGTGAATATATGTGTTGGAGGCTCCCTGCCTATGTTTTGTCCGGGCAAAATGAGGCCCCTCTAGCAAATAAATGAGTTAGTTCAAATGAGTGTCTCTCATTCACATTCATGTACTCACCCAATGGCCTAATTCAAATCTGGCTGGCCTGTATAATGTAGCTTCAATCTCTGGCAAGACCTCTGGGCCTTAAATGTCACTCATAACCTCCAAAACAAGCTACCTCCTGATCAGAATGTGCCTGCACATCGGCCTGATGCTGGACTTTTTCATTTAAACATTGATTTAATCTATCGTACCCTTAAAAGACCTATTGTTTAGCAGGTTTTAAGATGCTTTATCATTTCATTGTGTTGTTTTAAATAGCCTCATCTTCCTCTCTTAATGTCACTCAATAACATGACTAAATTACGAAAATTAGAGACAGCTGTACGAGAGTCCAACTCAAAAACTTAGATAGTTATGCCATGAAAAATTAATTAGTTTATACATTGCCATAGCTTTAATTGATGTTCTTAGTAGCTTAATGGCAATGAGATTCTATAATAATAAGAAACACAACTGTTTATAATTTTTTTTCCCCTTTAAGCAATCAGAGAGGCTTGTCTATTAAGGCTTATCTCTCGTTATTTTCCAAGCGTAGGGGTTGCACTTTAAAGCAGTGGCGAACATACTGAATGATTCCTAGTATTTTCACACGAGCGAGTACGGCGGAGTCTATAGAGATTCTTTATAGGATTTAGGGGGGAATGGCTCCTTTAGTTTTTGGCCTGAGATTTGTAGCACACCCATTCATATGTAAGCCTCTGTCTTGCTCTACATATGGTGGTCTTACAAGCTTCACTGGGTTTCGGGGGCTCTTTCTTTCCCCTCCAATGCGGTCCACGCCGTTTGCAATTACAAATTCAATTCAAGTTGGCAGATTTCCTCTGAAGTTTCCCAGCTCGTTCTCAGATTAGTCATTTCTAAGTTCGAGACGTGTTTGTTCGCAGGCATTACTGGATTGGCTTGAGATAGAGAGTTTATTGTTTCCTTCCCTATCCTGCAAGTCTGAGAAAGTAGTGTTCTTGTAATCCAGATAAGCGATCTACATTACAAATATATTCATTTGTCAGTTTTTTTTTTTTCCTGGAATTTTATACTAAAATAGGTCTTGTGTTGAAAACGAAACCTGTTTATTTGTTGTTGATAGTCAGGATCAGTCAGGAATCAGTATTGAATTCCTACCTTAATCTTCTGGCTGTTTGTGTATGTGGTGCCATGGAAGCCGATACCGCTGTCCATCAAAGAGGTCTGTCGAATGGCCCTAACAGCTGGGGAGAGGGATTTCACCATTCTGACGGAGTCCCGTTTTAATCACTGATAATGCCTCTCAAATCTCTCAATAACAGATGTGGCACATTTCTTACAGTTTTTGAAGCCTTCTCAGTCAGGTGGTGTAGTGAGTAGTATGCTCTGCCTCTTTAGACTTGGGTCTTTTGTAACATTTCACACTTAAACGCTTTCTACTGGTTGTCTTTCTCTGCTAATTTCTTCACTACAGAGATGGGAAATGTCATGGATCTCCTGTAAAGCCGTCTCTTTTTCACCTCTTAACTCTAGCTTGCGCAATATGACCTCAAATGTTTTCCTTTTTGTGCCGGCTCAGTTTTAATCCCCACTTTAAAAAACAAAGCCCATGGTTTGTGGTTTGTGGCCAGCTGATATTGTGATAGCTGTTCGGTGGTATTGTGTATGGTTCAGTTTGCATTGTTCTGCGTGTTTACCCTCCTTTTCCCTCGCTGGCACTTCTAGCCTCCCGCTGCTGGGTTCCGCTTGGATTTTAAATGGGGGGTGAAAAAATCATGTCCAAATATTGACTGGTCCGATTCTGAAGACCTCGGTCTTCTCTCAGCTCACGTGAAAGGGTGCCATTGTTCCTGTCTTAGTGGATCTTTGCCAGAGTTTCAAGTATTTAGGCTCTTACATGGCTGGAAGTGCATACAGCAGGGCTTGTAGAAGGAAATATAGAGCGACTAAAGAATGGAAAGAGTTACATATGGGAACCGCAGGGCTCTTGGTTTGAGTCCCACTATCGCGCCCCATCCCGATTAACCCTCCAGGGCTGTGTGGCAGTGTGCTGGTGCTCTCAAAAGATTTGGGCTATCAGAAGACTCACTCCAGCAGAGAGAAAGTTCTCCTGCAGGGTAACTAGAACATCCTGCTGTTTGATGACCCCTAACACACCGAGAGGTGCCTGGCCCCCTTCCTTCTACACTCAGCTCTTGCGTTACGCTAATAAACTGTCATGATTGCGTCGCTAAGAGAATTCAGGGAGTGCCTCTTTTTAAATTAAAGTTAACCGTTCTTTCATTTTTTTTTTACGAATTCACGCTTGAGTCATCACAGCGATCGCCCATCCTTTTTGATGATAACTGATGCATTTCGGGTCTCTCTGTTTGCTAGAGGTAAGCTCCTCATACTCTGTGAGCTTTTAAACTGTGAGTGGTGAAATGTATTTGCTTGGGTCTTTGAAGGCCTGGCTGAAGGTATTAACAGAGAGGCACTAAAGGGCTTAGGAGGTCATCGGCCCATTGTGTAAAGATACAAAACACTTCCTCTGAACCCCTTCACCCTTCTGTGTCTCCCTCGGAGAGCCACGACCTACACAACCATTCATATTAATCAGCTTCAGACCTTAATGACCTGATAAAGCTCCTGAAAGGACCCTAAAGTTTACTAAGCCCCCTTGATAAGAATTGGAGGAAAATGTAGCATGCAGTAATGACTGCTTTGCGCATTCTTTCGCAGCGAAAGCGCAGAGCGGTTTGCTCTTTGTGCCCTTCATTATGGCACATTTAATCGCAATGAGAAATAATGAAGGAAGCATTTGTTCGACAGGCTAAGCTAATAAAAATGGACTGACTTGGCAGGAGTTAGCATGAAAGGAAAACAAGAAAGAACAAGAAACAGAGAGATAGGATGAGAGAGAACACTTTCTTGCTTGAAAAACGTGTCTTACAGATTTGAACTTGGTCTGTAACCTTAAAACTGCTTTCACCTGCACAAATTAGGGACTTTTGGATGAAGAATACCTTTAATCTTCCTTTCTCATCCAGAAGGAACATACAGTACAAGGATTATTTGAAGCTGCCTTCTGTAAAATATTTCACCTTTTCAAAGCATGGAAAAATTGGATTTTTTGAAAAAAAAAAAAAGTGTCTTTTTTGTGCTGTGGTGAAGGACATAAATCTTTTCAAATTCACTGTTTGTCATTAAGTTGTTTGGCTACTTTATTGTGAACATATTGCTATCATAGCTACGGTAGTGCTACAACAAAATCATCAGATTTTAAATTAAATATTGTAGAGAAAAGTAAATGAAATATGACGTTTTCAATTTACCAAACTTTTTTGAACGAAAATAAATGATGAAGGAAAACCTCAAAGGATAATGCAGCAGTTGATTTTCTTTTTCTTTTTTTTATATAGTTTCTTTCAGGATAAACCCAATAATAAGTTATGCAGCTGTTGCTTTAATCGGGCTGTTAATTGTTTACAAATATCTTTTGGCTGATGTTTTTGTATGTCGCGCATTCATCACAC